AGCACACATAGGCCAAATCCACCAGTTGGCGATGACAGAAACAGGCAGCCCGGAAATCCACACCAAGCGAGGGTCCACTGTTCCTGGAGTCTGGCAGGATGAGCGTGGAACGCATATTAACCCTCGGCAAGAATACCGAGATGAGGTACTGCAGCAGACCAGCAGGACGGGGCACCCGTAGGTAAATGCCCCCCGTGAGGTCAGCGGCCTGCTGGAAGAGACTGGAGTAGTTAAAGTCGGGCAGCACAGAGGTGTGACGGAGGTCTTCCGGGGTCGAACTGACGGTGGTCGGTGGAATAATACAGGCGTCGATGGGAACACGGAGTTTTTGGGCGGTGAAAACTGAATTCATCAGAGGCAAGTACTGTGAGGCTGCGTCTTCTGCGGCTCTAATAACTAAAATACGGGCTCTGAGACTGCCCCTCAGGAGGCCACTGAGTTCATCTTCAAAAGTTGGGGCGGCATCCGAGGAAATGTTGGTCGGCAGAGCAACAGTGGGCCGGAGTTCTCGACAACGACGCATAAAGTAGCACAACGCCTTGATAATGGCTCCAGAAAAGGCCACCGTGCAATTCAAGGACTCACAAGATGACACTAAGTCGTAGGCCTTTTGCCTGACTGTCTCGCCAAGTATTCCGAGGGCTTCGTACTGGCCATCATAGGTGGATCGGTCTTCGGCCTTTTTTATCATCTTTGAAGGCCACAAAAACTCCGTTTTTTCTGGCGTCACGCCGATTATGGCTGTTTCGTTTAGTGGAGACAGCATCAGATGAACATTGACAAAGGCAAGAACCGCCTCAATAAAGTTCGGTAGGAGAAATCCTTCGGGAGCGTAGGTACCCCACCATACTGGGGTTAGATCAATTGCAAGAACAAGGAGCTCGCTCGTTTCGGAAGCCTCGGGCAGACTGACTCGAACGTCAGTCATTGTGCATCAACCTGCAAAGTCTAGAGTTAGTTGGATGAGGATGGATTCAAAGTCTTCAAGCAGGGCTTCACTCCTGCCAATCTTTTTCGCCTCGGATGCAGTACGCGCGAGGGACTCTAGACGGCATAATGTTTAGGAGAGGTACGAAAAACCTTCGATGAAAAGTTCCACGAGATCACCGCTAAGAACAAGCGCCTCACTGGAAACTATAAGGGTAAAAGTTCGAAGAACGATGCCACCTTACTTCGTGTTTTTGATTCAGTAAAGAAGGTTTTCAACAACACTGCAATGAGTTTGTCCTAAAATTAGAAAGCAACTGTGAGAGTGATCGTGTGGCCGCACGAAGGAACAAAAAATGACAGCGGTATAAAAAAAAGTTTCAGCTTATCTGTTTATTATCTGGTGGTTACTAAAGAAATCGAATTCAAATAGTGAACAGTGAATCTCTGTCGCAATTTTACATAGTATAGTAAAACAGACAGGTGGCTTCAATGCTAAGTAAATGTCTAGCTCTTATAATTAAATGATTTGGTAACGTGGAACTATGCAAAGAGACTAAAATGGAACGTTATGCACACCATTTGTCTGAATATGTGTGAAAGGACTTGCACCTCTTGTGAGCTTAAACGGTGTCTTCGAGCAGGTGATTTAAAAGCTTACAAAAAGGAATAGAAAAAGCGAAGAACGGTTATGTAATAATAAGCAAACATTCACAGATAAACGATAGGCTAGAGTTGTACTTCTGACAAGATATCAGTTCGCATAATCAATGGCTGCCAGCTTTAATCAGGTTTCCCAATATCTCGGAGTAAGTTGTTACCAAACACCACACGAAAACAACATCTTCACCCGAACTCATACGGCTCGCACGGTTTTGCAAACTTCTTCACGTATCTATGGATCAGTCACGATTTTCGCCTGCCATACAGATCTGTCTCTATTAGACACCAGTCCATTCAGTTCTTTTCTATAGCTATCAATTCTGCGCCCTGAACGCGGACGATAAAGAAAACCTAGCCAGTCACCAAATTTACGATGGTCCAAAACCTTCGATATCGGTTTTTCGCTATTGGGCGCGATTATATATCAAGTTCTTTAGGTCTGCTGCCGCTTTTCGTGTTTTAAACGTCGCAAGGTGCACACGTTCCTGGACCCTGGTACCCAAAGTCTGACGGTGCACATTCTTCATCAGTGCAATTTGGATGTCTATTGCTCACCAGAAGTCCGAATTCCCAACTCAGGTGCTTGGGAAATAATTATCTTAGAAGTCAACTTACATCTGACCCGATACCTGAACTGTCCACGTTGCTCTTTTGGCAAACACGGTGTGGCGATTGCCCTCTCGCAACAAGCGAACCGTGTGCTACTTGCATGGGAACCGGCCAATCACCAGGTGGCCTATGTGCGACTGAGGGGGCATCTCTGCCATCCCCATGTACGCACTAGCATTAGCTGATAAGTTATTTTACTCGCGGCCGCAAGGGTAAATCGAAATATTTTTTGTCGTCATCTACTGATTGTTTTCAGGGCCTGGAATAGCCGGACTGAAACTGGCGACCCTTCAAATTAGCACCTTATTGCCCGCTTTGGGCTTGGTTCTCCAGACGAACATGGTGAGAATTTTCTTAACTTTGCTCAGCCGAACAAACTTTTTATTACCAACACACGTTTCTAGCATTGCTACAAACACCTGCTGAACTGGTACTCAAAAGACATAGAAGCAGCTCTTGGACCTTCTATCTTTGGTTTCCGTCGCTGAAGAAGAGACTGGATGGAGCTCTCTAGGTCCGTTGCCCCCAATCGTCACGCACGGAGAGGCACCGTCCGTGACATCATTGAGGCCGGCTAGATCAGGCATGATCACAGCCACAACCAGTACAAGTACAAGTACTCAAATAACGGTCATAAGACGAGTCAGCTCGATTAGATTGTAGTCGGTTCAAGGTCCCGCAGACGGATTCCCGATAACATATAGACGCGTTCTGCCAAAATCGGTAAAGCCTATGGGCTGGATATGTTTTCGCTTGCAAATGCCTGAAAGTTCACCTATCATTTTCACTTAAAACGCCAGGTGTAAGACGTCTTGATGTCGTAAAACTTGAACAGCACAGTACCATCGAGACCTTGAGCATAAGAATTCGCTTCGAGAGAGCATAAGCCAGCGGTCATCA